TAAGTATGGCTTTACAGTATTATAGGCTAAATACTAGTATCAATCAGTTCCTTCTCTACCATGTTATTGATAGACATCATGGTTCCCCGTAAAGGGAAATTTTAACAGATGGTCATTAGTGATAAAAAAGAATATTACTTTTTTTCTTCCACAGACTGTTCTTAGTTGAGACAATCTTATTTCAGAACATAGTTTATAGATAATGCCAAAGTGTAGGTTTTGCGACAGAGAAATGGTTTGCCTGCTGTTACTTTTGTTTTCATATGTAGGAACCTAAGAATGATTTCCAATGCCAACCGGCCCTCCAGTGCAAAGTAAACTCAAGAAGTCCGTTGAGCCCATCTCAGCGTCCTGATGATAAAAGTAAATGCACTATAGCCTCATCTTCTCCATTCACCCACAGTCATCATTACTTTCTCCCATTATTACAATAAGGAGTAGATTGTTGGGCTAATAGTGGGTCAAACATCTTGCTTATATGAAAAATATCAGCTCTGCTGGAAGAAAGTGTCCCAGTGATGACCTGGTGGCTTTAAAAATTATTATTTGGCAGGGGTGGGGGGGCACCTGTGTGGCTTAGTTAGTTAAATGTCCAGCTCTTGATTTCAGCTCAGGCATGATCAGAGTCCTGAGATGGAGCCTGGAGTCCAGCTCCCCCGTGGGCCTGGAGCCTGCTTGAGATTCTCTCCATCTCCCTCTGCCCCCTTCCTCATGCGCTTGTGCACACTCTCAAATAAATAAATGAATCTTAGAAAACAGAAAAAATATTATTTTTTATTGAAGGTGATGTAATAAAGATTTTATACTAATATTTATTAAGCTCCTACTGCATGCTGGTCCATACTCTAGACAATGCATTTATAACCAGGATAGAGGGAGGCAGAGAGGAAGGAAGGAAGGAAGGAATTAAAAAAGGAAGGAAGGAAAGAAGAAAGGAAGAAGGAAGGGAGACAGAAGGAGGGAGGGAGGAAGGAAGGAAGGAGAGAGGGAAGGAAGGAGGGAGAAAAGAGAGGGGAAGGGAGGATGAGGGTAGGGAAGGGAAGGGAAAGTAAGGAAAGGGAAGGGAAGGGAGGAAGGAAGGACGAAACCAAAGTTCTATTTTTGGCTTTTCTGCCACTGACTCAATATTAACTCGAACCAGTGACCAACTTTGGTCTGCTAACTAAGCCTATCCACAGAACAGTGAGAAAATGCTTCAGCTTCCTTATTTTTTTTTTTTTTTTAAGATTCTATTTATTTATTTGACAGAGAGAAATCACAAGTAGGCAGAGAGGCAGGCAGAGAGAGAGGAGGAAGCAGGCTCCCCGCTGAGCAGAAAACCCAATGCAGGGCTTGAACCCAGGACCTGGGATCATGACCTGAGCCGAAGGCAGCAGCTCAACCCACTGAGCCACCCAGGCGCCCCCAAGCTTCCTTATTTGAATGCTGGACAACTGCTGAGATCACTTACATAAATATTTTTCTTTGAGCTCCCTAGAAGACAGGAACTTTATAAATATTAGTATTATTGTTGCACCTTAGGTACAAGTAGACAGGAAAATTATGATAGTCCTCTATTTATGTAAGAAACAACCTATTTCAGACAATTCCAGTTCATGCCAAGCAACTTTGTATTAGTTTGTTAGGGTCCCTTGGGCTTTCCTTTTTCCTTTCTCCTCCCCCCATTGCAGCTGATGAATGTGGAAATATAAATAAACCCTCAGAGCAGAGGGTAGGAAGGTGAGGAAGCTCAGCGTGGGGGTAGTCACACTGGCCATCTCCAGCGGTGTGTCGGAATGGGTGAGGATTCAAAATAAACATTACATTTAAAATTCCTGATTGAAAAGTGTGAGAAAATGATTCATTTGCAGAATGAGTAATTTGGTTGAATGTTCTGTCCTTGAGTAAGACCTTGATGAATCTTCAGTTTTGTCTGTTCTGTTTCTTTTTTGGATACATGTGGTTAGAAGAACCCAAAAAACCGGGATTGTAACTGGCATGTTTAGAGTCTGTTTGTTTCAAGTGGAGTCTTCCAAAATTAATTCACCTGTTTCTTTGCAAATTCTTGTCCCACAGGCAATTCCTCCAAGATTTTAATGGGACTCAGTTCTGGAATGATGTTCTCAGAATGCATACAAGGGTTATTTTTGGATGGTGGAATTTCAGGTGATCTTTTTAGTTTACTTTCTTATTCAAACTTCCCTGCACTTCCTGACTTTTTTTTTCTTTGAATAAGGAGCAAGTATCATTTTTACAAAAACAGTAGTTTGAAAAATAATAAAATTGAAACCCCGTGCCACTGATTTCATTCTCTTCTCTGCCATATAGCCCGAGTTTCTAATGGACCTATGCTTTCTTCTTGCATTCCTTACAAATTTAAGACAAACAGTTATACAATAATTAATTTCCAAATTGGGAAAGTGAGCCCTCTGTGCAAATGAGTAGGAAGCTGGTGTTGGTCTAGGGAACTCAGGCATCTTATGAACCACACTTACATAAAATTTTCTCTTTTGTCTTTATTGACGGGAATAATTCAAACCAAAGCAGAGTGGATCTCTTGCCAATGAATTATGCTGATAATGTTTTGTTTGTTGACCTGATGTCGAGATGATTTTATTAGTTTTACTATTTCTTGAGCACTCAGGGTGTTTTAGATACAATGTCACTTACAGACAAACAAAAGACATTAACTTCACATTCAATGATTTTACTTAATGAAATAATAAAAACCATTTAAGATTTTCTCTTTTGTGTATACGTGTGTGGTCTCCTTTTCTATTTTTACTCCAATACTAATGCAGGGCAGAACCTTCAACATATCTGGGGGCCAAGCTTTCTCCCCACTGTCCAACTTCGTAAAGAAGATGCTTCCAGGAGGATCTGCAAATGCACCTATACACTTTTTCTATAAATATTTATAAGCACTTATAGCATGCTGGTCCATACTTTAGGCAATGCATTTACAACTGGGAACCAGAAGTGGTCCCTGATCTAGAGAGGCTAATGGAGGAAAACAAGCATATCAACAGACACTGCAATCATGAGGTCTGGATAGAACATTTAATGAACACCACTATGGAGGGGCCAATGTCATCTTGGCAGAAGTATAGAAGGAAGGATCAGAAAATACTTCAGCAGGGAGAAAAGGCAAATGTGGCAGAATGAGCAGTCTGAAAAGGCAGTGATGTGAAACAGCAGGGCTCTCTTTTTGAAAATTCTAGAGGTAGTTTCCATGTGTCTAGAGGGCATGGGGTGAGTGAGGTGAGAGTGATGGAAGGTGATGCTAGAACATTAAATGGGGGGAAGTTTATAGATATGAATTTAGGACTCATAGAACCAATCTCAGGAAGCAGATAGAGCTATGTGGTCCAGGCTCTTCCATGCTGGGAATAAAGTAGGGTGACAAAGCAGGAACTTGATCTTTGATTGCTCTGGAATAACCGAGCAGGATTTTAATCCTGTCCGATGTGGTGAGTGTGCCTCACATGGTTCCCAGACCCAGTCCTCTTGGCCTCCATGTCCACCATTTTGTTCCTCTCTTTCCACATTCCTCTTCTCTTCACGGCTGGAGCAAGAGGCAATAGCCACAGCCATGGGGCTTGTAGAAACTCAGCTCTTTCTTACCTTGTCCCACAGTTTCAACAGCCCTCTTCTCTGATGCCAGCCTCTTGTCATTGGCTAAACCTATAGACTTCTATCCCTTCTCTCCTTGGAATGGGTCCCTTCTCAGGCCACTCCTGGAACTCCCTGGTCAACGGATCCACTTGCAGTTCACTTTCCAGACATGGTGACATATGCCTGAATCTTTGGGAGAAAAAAGTTTTGATGCAGGCTGGTAAGTTTGGGAAAGTTCTGGGAAAAGAAATGGAAAGAGAAAATAGGAGAAAGAAAAAGCAGGCTGAACTAAGACTTAGAGAGAACAGGGAGTATAAGTGGCTTGTACGGAGCTTCCAAATCCAGAGTAAGTGGTACACATTTGTAGTATTATTCCTAACCTCTTATCTTTGAAACGGATATCCTCTATTATTTTTCTATTTTGCATTGTTTGTATGTTTGTAAGCCGCTCTAGAACTTTTTAGAAACATGGCAGAATACAAATACATGAGCACATTGAGAAGGTATTTACAGTCGCCACATTGAATAATGAGCGTTCTGAAGACAGGAGTGATGTGGTAAAAAACACTTCTTGCTAAAACACTTTTGCTAAACGTGACTGTGGTCAGAACTTGACATAGCGGGAAAAGAGGATTTCAAATTATAATCTAACTTCCAAAGCATGCTTTAATCCTGACCTACAATGGTGAAGGAGTTTGGCAGTATTTGTTCCCTCAAAGCCAAACTAAACCAAACCCAGGAGGAAGGCAAGCACCAGGGCGCTGACTTTCTGCCATCACGAGCGAGACTTTGCCAGCCTCGGGACTCCCACAAAGTGAAAGGGTGGGAGAAATGACCCGGAGGAGATGATGGTGTCCCTCCGTGGGCTAGGGAGCCCTGACCGGGACTTTCTCTCACTGTCCCTCCTCCCAAACCCAGGATTTATCCCTTTTGATCACTCAACACCTCCCCTTCTCAGCTAGGCTAAACTTGTCTTCTCTCCTCAATTTCTCCTTCCCCCAGGGATTCACTCCCGGGCCAGCGCCCCCTCCCGCGCCCCCAACAAGCGCCCACGTTCTCCCAGGACTAGCGTGCTCACTCCTTTCCCCTCGGCCCCAGCCCCTTTTCTCGGCTTCTGCCTCTTCCACCCGGGACGCCGCTCTCTTGCCTCCCCACGGAGCCCAGACCTCGGGGAACGAGACCCGGACGCCGAGACGCAGGTGGCGGGGCGGGAAGCCCGACGGGCCGAGGGTCGCCCGCGGCTGGCGGGGGAGCGGGAGCGGGTGGGGCCCCTCCCCGCAGGCGGGCGCGCGGCGGGCCGAGGGGGCGGGCCCAGGCCTCCCGCGCGCCGCCGCCGCCCCTCCAGCCGCCTCTTCGCTCCGCCAGTCGGCGCGACCCAGGTGTCAGCGGGCAGGAGGCGCCTGAGGATGTGCGGCTGGCCGCTGCTCCTGCTTTGGGGGCTGCTCCCCGGCGCAGCGGTGGCCGGGGGCTTGGGCCGGGCCCTCCCGCACCGCACCCTCCTCGACTCCGAGGGCAAGTACTGGCTGAGCTGGGGCCCCCGGGGCGGCCGGCTCGCCTTCCGCCTCGAGGTGCGCACCGCCGGCTACGTGGGCTTCGGCTTTTCGCCCACCGGGGCCATGGCCGGGGCGGACATCGTCGTGGGCGGCGTGGCCCACGGGCGGCCCTACCTGCAGGTAAGCGAGTCCCCTCCGGGAGCCCGCCCCACCGAGCCGCGTCCCATCTCCTCGCGCCTTCGGGGCAGGCGCGAGTGCAGGCGCCCCCGGGGCCGCCCGGTGCCCTCCGCGGCCGAGGCCAGAAGCCTCCCGCAGCCCTGCAGCCCGAACCCTGCACGCGCTCCTCTTGGAGGTCGGCTCCCGCGCCCCTGGAGCCAAAGGCGCCCGCGGCTGGGCTCCCCGCCTCCGCCGCCCAGCCCCGAGTTTGCCCCCGGGGAAGCTGAGCACGGGTGACCCCGGGCAGCTTTCCGTCTCGGAACACTTTCCTTTCCCCAGCGCCGCACTGACTAGATCCCCCACATACACACCTGCCACGAATCCCGGTCCATCCGTCCTGGGAAAGGAGAACGACCCTTTGGGGACCTAAGGAGAGGGCTATTAGGGTTGGAGGGAACTGGGAGCTTTAGCACTTTGCTATCTTGCTGTCTAGAACCAGGATCCCAGAATTTACCAAATCCTAGCCATTCTGGAGTCCCCAGGCATGGAGCTGAGGTCCCCTTCCTCATCTGAGAGATGAATGAAAGGTCCCCAAGAATCGTTTAGGAACTTTGCTATCCTGGGAGCCCGTTAGGATGCCCATTCAGAGACCTGCAAAACTTACAGTTCCCCAGGCAAAATCCTCTATGAAGTGGGGAAACTTTTCACTTCTTTTCATGGCTAACCAAGTTAATTTGACAGCTGCCGATTTGCTTTGAAAGAGTCGGAGTAGGCACGTTGCCTGTTCATAGATATCTTTATGAATGGGAGAGTGGGGGAGGATGGTGAGAAAACCAGAATGATTAGGTGGTTAGGTTTTCTGGACATCTTTGTTAATTTGATCTTGACAACTTTTGGGCGCTTTCCCATGGTTACATAGTATCGTGGTGAATATACTCTGTTACTTATAAATGTTCATCCCGAAATACTGCCCTTTGCTAAAAAGTCTTTTCTTCAAAATGAAAACTCCTTACCGTTCTGGCATTGGGTTAATGTTTTGATGATATTAAAATCCGTGCACCGGTTGGATACCAAAGTGCCTTTCTCAGTAATTTTATTTCCGACTTCTAAGTTTGATTTCCACAACTTTCTGACTGAGATGCCATCAAATTTTAACCCTAATTCTGGCACTGAGCTAGTAACTCTGGCTAGAAATAAAGAAAATGACTGTAATAAAAACTTCAAAACCATCCTGTTGTCTGTTGTTTGTTTTTTTTTTTTTATAAATTAATCCTTTTCTCACAAAATAAGCTTACTACACCCCCAATAAATGAACTTTTATGAAGACTATGCTTTGTTGAAGTCATTGATGTATAAATTTCCTCCAGCAACATTTCAGACATCAAATTCGTAAACCAAGAATTTGATCGCAGGACAACAGGCCTCACTAGCTGAATAACTAACTCTCTTCTGATAATGAAGAAGAAAATATCTTCTTTAAATACCTAATTGAGTCAAGTCCTTTTGTTTGTTTGTTCAGGGTGGGAAAAGTAATATGTCCCTTAACTATCTTTGCACGTTTTGTTGAGAAGGACTTGGAAAATCTTTCTACAGTAATATCATAAAACAGGGTATACTTTAAAAGATAACTTGATATTGTCCCCCCCCCAAAAGAGTAGCATTTCTAGAAAATCCATCCAATTTGATATCTAATGAAAGACCAAAAGTAGAGTCATGTTTCAACATGCCGTAATTGGCCCACCACAAAAACAGACTTTGTTAACCACAGAGTGTTTTCACACTGCTGGTGGTTCTTCATAAAGACTGCATAAAAATTAACTAAATGCTCTTTGAATTAACTTTGAGCCATATGAATTTTCTCAAAATAATCAGTGAATACTTATCACTATGAGATAAACCTTAGAAATGGTCACTTTCCCAATATATTTCATGAGCACGAAATAAAATTTTTCCCTCCATTTTTATTCCTAAGGAAGTAAAATCCTTATTTTCATCTATGTATGATAATTGTTTTCTTAGTGGACTGACAAGCTTACTGTCCCCTTTCCTTCATCCTACTCATTCTAGGATGTATAAAATACACTAAAAATTATGCTCATCAGTTATATGGAAAGAAAACTGATCAAAAACCTCTTTAATAAAATGAAAGACACCAAACACTAAAAATAAAAAAATATATCAGTTCCTTCTGGGTCATCCAGGCTAGGTGATTTTCTAAAACTTGAAATTGAATCTTTTTTCTAGAAACTATTAATTTGAGAGTCTACATACAGTGGTATGTTAAGGAGCAACTATACCAAAAAGGTAAACAGGGTCCTTAGACAGTATATGTAATTCAATTACATATTAGTGGACTTCAGATTTCATGTAATTTTACTCCCAGTGAGAACAAACTTTGCAAGACAAAGCATTAGCTTCTGGGGCATCCAAGCATGTGCAGCAGCTGCTAATGGTTGGAGATGGCATCAGGCCACTGATAATACCCTACATTGACATCTGGGTCACCTCCCCTTGCAGCTTTCTTTTTTTCTATATATTTTATATCCTCCTTTCTTATTTAATTTTTAAAAACTTGACCTTCAGATATTTTTTTCTGTCATGATTCTGACTTCTATTTTTCTAGTTATCTTAAACTTTCTTTTCAATAGGATATTAACTCCTAGATAACTGTGTAAGAATAAATTCCAGCCAACTGGTAAAGAATTGTTGGTTAAAATAGATGCCAGAAACCCAAATGCTTATAGAAGTTAGACAGCAAGTATAAAAGAGTGATGGGCTTGATGCAATGCAACAGACAGTAGAGAAGATTGAGGGGAAAAGAGTTTTTGTAACTGAGTTACTGTTTTGTGGGAATGCAAATCAGGTATTGGCAGATCTTTTGTTTTTGCTTTTGGTTTTTTTGAGAGAAGATGGAAATTTAGATGTGTGTAAATAAAATCCGATTATGAAATACTGGCCACAATCCAAGTTTGTACAAAGCACCATGTAGAGCACATACATACACAAAATTTTCGTGGAGATAAGAGCCCATGGATAACTTAGTCTGGGGCCAAGAGGGAAAAAGAAAGGTTAGTAACGAATCGACCCAAAATATGAAAAGCCATGAAAGGCAGAGGGCAGGTTCCATTTCTCTTCAGGCGTGGCTTATTCTGTGGCAAGAAATGTCCAGTGCCAGAGGGGGCCTTGTCCATTTTTTTTTTTTGGTAATCTATTGTATGACACAACACCCCAAAATATGTTTGCTTAATACAGTGACAGTTTGCTCTCAGCTCTGCAATTCAAGGAGGGGCTACTTGATGTCAACCCAAGGTGAGCGATTGGAATCATCGGGAGGCTCCCTCAATCACTTGCCTGACTGGCGGCTGCTGTTGTCTCTTGGCTGGGGATCTTAGCTGGTCCTGTGGTGGGAGTGTGGCCACTCCATATGGCCACTCAGCTTCCCCACAGCTCAGTGGCCCGGTCCCCGTGGTGAATACCCTGAGAGGCCCAGGTAGAAACTAGATAGCAGCCTTTTCTAACTTAGCCTTTGATTCATCTTCGTTGTAGTCGTATCTCACTGGATTCAAGAGGGAACATGAGGTGGCACCTTAGGAACATGTCATAAGGAGGTCACAGGGGAATGGAATATATATATGAGTGTGGCCGTCTTTGCAAAATACTTCCACACCCATCCCCACTGACTTGTCACAGTCTCCTTCCCACCACCACCTCTGAGCACCTGTCTACATGCATCTACTCTCTCTTGACACTACTGAGATTGGGAGACAATATTGACTTATTCACCTTTTTTCCTTTTACACACACTCTCTCTCACACCACTCAGAAGGAGTTAGTGTTCAGTTATTCTACACTATTCCACACTCCCCTGCCAATAAAGACTACAGAAGTCTACAACTCCCATGTTTTTCAGTGGTTGCCAATCATTAATTCAGAGTTGGAGCCAGTGAGAATACCTCCAGAGGTAGGTGTGACATTTGCTAGTAGGTTGTGGGTGAAAAATCAAGTTCTGATTTCTTGCCTCAAGGCAGTAGGCCGGCCAGCCTTAAAACTCTACCCAGAGATGAGGCTTTATGGAAATTTGCCCCTGCCCATTTTTTAACCCACTGACCCAAATGGGTATATAACCAGGTCTGATCAAATGGGAAAGAAAAGAGAAACATGGTTGGGAAGTGAAGGTCTCAGTATCATCTATCAGATACCCTGTTGTGGAGGGTCTCACACTTGGGGTAATGTGACCCTTGGGATGCTGCTGAGGTCATTTCTGCACTGGCTTTCACAGGATTGCCTGGGGTGGGGGTGGGAAGCAGCCTTTCCTCTCGCCTTGGCTTTTGAAAACCTCACTATTTTGTCTCAATGAATTAACTCTCACTTCCCTGATGGATTCCTGTCCTTTCCTTGTACTTTGCCCCTTTTTGACACAGTGCAATCCTACCCCCCACCCCATCCACTTAGCAACTGTGAGTCCCCATTTGAGGAAAGTAATCCGGGTTGATGAATGCCTAGTTTGTGTGAGTTAGAGAAGAGGGCAGCATTGTCGGATGTGCCCGTTGAATTTGCACAAAAATTGATTCACTCTTCCTTTGGGGGTAGAAATCGCGAGTGAATGGAGGCTGAAACATATGTCATCATTTGTTACAGCCTTGCTCCCTGGCTGCCTCTGTGAAACATTTCTGTGGAGGAGAAGCAAGTCTTCAGGAGCAGGGTAATTGCTGCTGGGCTGTTCGCTGAGGAAGTGCTCGGAAATTGTGCTGTGATTTGAAATCACAGAAAACAGTGAGCATTCTTTGTGGTTAACGATGTGCTGCTTTTAAGCGCGTCCCAGCCAACGGCAACAAAGAAATGTTTGGAAAGCAAATTGAAAAGCTGTAAGGGAAAGATGAAGAGAGCGTACAACCCTGACACAGCTCAGCTGGGGCTTTGTTAAGAGATATTTATAAGTCTTCAGATTATGCTCCCCCACCCCGATTTCCAGATGACGAAGGGACCTCTCCAAGCGTCGTGCTTTGTGCATTAGTAATAAGGAC